AAGCCTCGTAAATTGATCGCAAGCCTCTCTCTAAAGAGATTATGCTCAATAGGAAGGAGGATGAGAAGCAGAAAGGCCTAATGAGGGGTCCCAGGTTTTCCGGCATTGGAGTTGGCTAGAATATCAACGCCAAAGACTTTCTCTTGAAAGGAAATTGGGGCAGTGTGGGTCGAAACTTCCAGAACATGGCTGTGGGTTCCTCTTTGGGTGCAAACAATGGAAAATCATAGGTGTCACAAGAGGTTCTTGGTGCTAGGAAGACTCCGGTGTGATCGCCGACACTAGAATCTGTCTCAAACTTTTAAGGTGGGGGTCGAAATTCTCAAGAATGGGCTGTAAGTTCTTTGTGTTCAAAATCTGGAAGTTCAAAGAGTTATCAAGTGAATGCTAGCGCCAGGAAGTGTCCGGCGAGTTCGCAGGCGTCGGAAAATACCCCAAATCCTTCCGGTGGGAGATGCTACTATTATCTTGCAGGTACAAAATCTTCATGAAGAATCTCAACTAGATGTGAGATTAAGGGGTAGCAATTTAGATTCGTTGGCTATGGAAATTTATGTGACTCATTTTCCATATTCTGCGGTGATAGGTCTTGATGGTGCTGTTGTTAGGTGTGAATATGAGACAATGTTGGAAGGAGACTCAAATACAATTTTTTTGGGAATGTATCTTTTAGGGTGGGTGATGGTGCCAGGAAGACTCTGGCGTGATCGCCGGCATCAGAATCTGTCTCTTAACTTATTTGGTGGGGGTTGGAGTTCTCCGGAAAGGGCAGTAGGTCCTTCGTGTTCAGAATCGGGAAGTTCACAGAGTTATCAAGGGGCTGTTGGCACCAGGAAGTGTTTGGCGAGTTCGTCGGTGTCGGAAAATACCCCAGATCCTTTTGGTGGGTCTCGGATGCCCCAGAATAAGGTAGCAGGTTAACTTTTTCCTCCTAAGAATGAGAATTCTTTGGCCGGAGATGCTACTATTGTCCCACAGGTACAAAATCTTGATGAAGAATCTCAACTAGGTGTGAATTTAGGGGGCAGCAATTCAGATTCATTGGCTATGGAAATTTACGTGACTCCTTTTCCAGATTCTGCGATGATAAGGCTTAATGGTGGTGTTGTTAGGTGTGAATATGAGACAGTGTTGGAAGAAGGAGACTCGAATACAAAATTTGGGAATGTATCTTTTAGGGTGGGTTATGGTAGTAGAGTAAGCTTTTGGGGACATAAATGGTGTGGAGGTAACACTTTGAGTATCACTTTTCCTAACATGTACAAGATATCATGCCAACGGAAGATGTCAATTCAAATCATAAAGAGGATACAAAGGGGAGAAACGCATTGGGGGTTTGAGGTCTAGGAGAAACTTGCAAGACTAGGGGTTCGTAGAATTACAGGGATTGATGGAGTTGCTCTATAAGCAGAATACTTCACAGATTAGCCATGATGGTTGGAGATGGGGGAGGGAATAGAGGTGTTCTTTCTGTTAAAGTCCTACTACGGTGTACTTCTAGGTAGAGAGGAAGCAACTTTTCCTTATTGTTCGGTGTGGATCCCTAGAGTACCGAGAAAGGTTTTTTTTTTTTGCAAGGCTAGCTACGAGGGGGGTGATTCTAATGGCTGAGAACATGAGGAATAGGAGAGTTGCATGTGTCAGTTGGTGTTTCATGTGTAATTTCTAGGGAGAGGATGTAGATCACCTTCTCTTACATTGTCATGTTGCATCTCGCTTGTGGGGAGAAGTGTTGAGTTGGTTTGGAGTTCAGTGGTTGATGCCTGGCACGGGTAAAGAAGTAATGTTCAGCTAAAAATTTAGAGGGGGGGAGAAGAAGGCGCAGGGCATGGGATGTCGCTTCACTAGCACTCGTGTGGATCATTTGGAGAGAGAGAAATAGGAGCGCTTTTGATGGGGTAGAGAAGGGCTTTGTTCATTTGAAGAATAACCTCTTTTCTCTTATTATTATGTTTTGGTGTACCCATGAGATTCCTTTAAGCATAGAAGATTGGGTGGCTTTTGTAGAGAATCATATTATGTTGTGAGATTCTCTATTTTTGCTATACTTCTTGTATACGGGCATTTATGCTCTTTATTAGTGATACTAGTGGAGAGGTCCCGGGCCCGACGTTAATAAAGCCATATTGTTTTATTATATATTATGTTATCTTTTTTATTTTTGCCATAACATTCTGTGAAATTTTACTGGTTAGGATAACTTATAAATTTTCAAATTCTTTGTCATTGTTTGCAAGTATTAAAGTGAGATATAAAAATTATATAATTGTAAATAAAGGTGTAATGACAATATTAAATGGAACATTTTATATTTGCATCGCCGATTAACTTTGCACACATCAAAGGCAAACCAACGAAGAGCAAAATGTTGTAGAGCTGGAGCATTCACCTAAATCTATCTGATTTTCTGGTACTATCAAATGTGACCTTTATCTCTTTTGCTTTTAGTTTTACATCCTCATAAAAGCAACATTTTACAGTTTCTACCTGTTAGTAGAAAATGTGTATCTTCTATAGTTGATTGATTGTTCCTCTGCTTCAAATGGAGGCACTCCATATAGAAATCATAGCTGAGGATACCAAGGCTCTAAATATCCACAATTGTATCATGCCGCAGATTTAATTGTATTACTCCAATTGTTTCACAAAGATCTTTCAGTTAATTTAAATAATATATTTAAAGATCGATATTTCATTTGCATCTTTATTCAATAAAAACTATTGCGTTTCCGAGTTAACCATATGATTTTAAACTTATTTGTTGGGATTAAACATTAGCGAAGAAGAAATAACAGGTGACCAATATTTCATCAACTTACTTTTTCTTTGTTTTTGTGTGTTGTTATTTCTTCATATTCTAATTTGAATCTTTTCCTTTAGCAAAATAATAAGTAGGCTTATTGGTAGCACAAAATTCATAAGCAACACATTTTGGTAGTTTCTTAGCGCGTATATTTAAGAAAAAAGGTCCCTAATTTATTTAAACATCGTTACCTTGTGGATAACCAAAAAGCTTACATTTTTCTTCGTTGATAGTTCATTTGTTAATAGTATTAAATAAGACGAGATGTCTTCTTACCCTAAGAAAAAATATGTGTTACAATAGAAGTGGACCTGGAAATATAGAAAAAAATATTTCTAAAGGAGATGCCAATTCTCTACTCTTTCTTTTTATAGACTTTTCTTATTAAGTGCTTGAATTAAAGACAGTCGTTTGAGCAATTGCACCTTGAAATGTTTACTTGACAATTAAAATAATCATGAAGATTCAAGTGGTAAAGTTATTATAGTTTGAACAGTGAGTTCTAATTTGAGTTTGTGTCATTTCCTAATCATATTACTCTTTTCTTGTTATGCAAAAAATATATAAATGTACTATTAATATTTTAAATTAAATCGGAGCAAAGTTATTTCTAAATGAGAATAGCTGAATTAAATAATTTGTATTCTGCTTGCTTATAACATTTAATATTATATTTGTTTTTATTTTTATATATCAAGCATGATCCCAACATGTAATTATAAATATACTTTTGTTCAAGTGTATTACTCCAATTATTTTATAAAGAGCATTTATGTTTATATAATACAATACAAATCGATTTTAAGATTGAAATTTCACATACATATTTATTTATTAAGAATTAATTCTACTTTGGACCTAACCATTTGATTTCAAATATCACTATATAGTATATTTAAATTGTTGGATCTGGCATATTTATTCTACATCAAACAAATTTTGTTCTAGATTTTTGTTCTACATTACATCCATTACTTAAAGTTGGTTTAACTGCAGTATCTTACCTTTATATTTTACTTTAAATTCATTAACTCACTTTAACATTTTGTTTAACTGCAGTATCTTACCTTTATATTTTACTTTAAATTCATTAACTCACTTTAACATTTTGTTTAACTGCAGTATGTTACCTTCTTGTTTCAAATTAGATTCATTAACTCACTTTAACATTTTTTGTTGGTTAAATTATTATGTAAAGCTAATTAACTATAGTATATTATTTTTTTTTCTTATTTTATTATAATTTCTACAATTTGACGTGTTAGTTGTAGTATACTACATTACTTATTTTATTTCCCTATGTACATCTGTCATTGATGAAAATTTCTGATGGGACCCACATTCTATTGTACTCTTGAGATACGTGTGGAATGGAAATCTGATGGGCCCATGTTTGGACAAAGTTGCGGCTGAAAGACTGAAAAGGCAAACATAACCCTGTGAATGCCAGGCAAAAATATTGAGCTTGATAGAGTATTTTAGGGAATAAACTAAAATGACTTGGTTTTTTTGTCAATTCACTTGAACCGGAAGCTCCTCTCAATTCCCATTTCTAAAGAGTAGTAAATTTTTTTACTTTATCAAAAAAATAATGCATCGGTTTATTGTTTCTGGTTAGCACCTGAATCTCGAAATGTATGAAAGCTATTGGTGAAAAACTTACACAGGTACTGAACTTTATTCCTTAGTTTCAGATAGACCATTCTAATGATTAAGCCTTGATTCTTTCACCACTGGCATTGATTCACCTTTTTCTTCCTTCTCATTCTTTTTAATAGGTAAATTTTAACTCTTTCAGTCCCACTTACTGGGTTAAAATAACAGTACTTGACAGAGTTGTTTGTACATCTAGAGTATGTGTTTGATTGTAAGTCTATGCTTTGAAGAGAAAGCACATGAGATTATCAAGAATTGCAAAAGTTATAATACTCACCATGGTTTATCACCCCAATTATTTTCTCCTGCCAGTTCAAATTGATCGAGATATCAATGTAGAATTTTACATTTGAATTTTGTTTTATGATTTTGACATCAGAGTTCCTCTTTTCCCAAAATGTGAAGCTAGCAATTTCAGAAGATGTTTTGTCTCAACCAGCTAGTACTCTGTTTGGCTTGGCTCTTACTTATTTTTTTTGCGATGAAAGGATCTTCTGTCTGTAGTTTGACATTTTTTGGTTTCATTGAATCTCTCTTGCAGGTCTTAAGTACCTGCCGCTCATTTTCGAAATCTGGTGTTCCTTTCCATTCTATGGTTGTTACTGGTGGTTTTCGCCAGAGAACTCAATTGGAGAACCTAAGACAGGAGTTAGACATTCTTATAGCAACTCCTGGTCGGTTTATGTTTCTTATCAAAGAGGGCTACTTGCAGTTAACTAATCTCAAGTGGTATTAACATTTTCCTTGAATAGTTAAAACTGTTAAACTAGCCTCAAGTAGTATTACATTTCTTTTAGTAGTTAAAACTGTTTTTCAGTTTCTTGCATTTTAAGGTCTTTACTACATCTGTCCAGTTCTCTCACTTTTACGGGGGTGCATTGGCATTGTGGATATATTTACTCTCTTGTTTGTTAGGCAAGGTCTGATGAACTTTGGATTGAAAGTAGTAGTCTTAAATCACAAAAAACCGTAGAATCACCATTCACCAATGGCTAGCATATCTGAGTGTTGTATCTTTTGTAGTAGTAGTATATTATCCTTCAGTTAATTCGATATCTATTCTGGAAATTTCATACTGCAATGGAGATGCTAAGTAAGAATGCAGTCTTTCACATCAATAGTTATGAAACTTTAGACACAGAAAAGGCATACTTTATTCATAGAATTTTACAGTATTTATAGGAGAACAGGTACAATCAAAGCAGGCTAATCAATCCCTAATTCTTAGGAGATCCTTCAATCAAGGGATTACATCTAAACTAGTTTCCTAGAATAAATTCTAACAAATTTTCCTAAATATCTACTGTACCATATTTACAGAAGCAGATTACAATCAAATCTGCCAGCTCATTCAAGCAGCAGATTATGAACAATCTGCCAGCTCATTCAACAAGTTATGCTATGCGCTACTAGATAAAGTAAGAAAAAGAATAACATGTGATAAACCAAAACGAATACATAGGTATTGTTCAAACAGGTAATAGCGTGACTTGTGTCTCCCAATCTTCATCCTCCCGTGCATTCAATAATCATAATTAAACAGAATATCAATAATAGATTTTTCTCCCGTGCATTCTCACAGATACTAAGCTAGTACTACTACAACACGCAACAAGGTAACTAAAAGAATATAGTCAGCAACTTAAGGCACTAGTAGAAAGCAACTACAGAGAAGCAAGTAATTGATGCAAGTGAATGCGTTGTAAACGACAAAGACAAAGAACGATACAAAATAAATTAAAATATATAAAGAGAAAGAAAGATACAGAATAAAATCAAAATATATAAGGACAAAGGAAGATAGAACCTGGAATGTATTCGAAGATGTCTAGCCAATGCCTCCGCCCACACTGAACTTTGTTTCAGTGGGGCCTGCTACTGAAGCCTGCTGTAACGCCTCCTGGATTATGGTCAGGGGAGTTGATGCGTTGCTGTAGAACCAGATCCCAGCCTCCTACATCAATACAAGTCCGAATACATCATAAAAACTTATTGGGAACTTCAAAACATGAACCAAAATGATATTACTAGAAGTGAGGGGTAAAATTACTTCTTAAGCTTTTTGACCTTTCGGATAGCAAGATAATGTTCCAAGTCTTTCCCGAGCATTTCGGGGTCCAAACCACCCATACCCACAAGTCGTAAAACATAAAAGGAACGGAAAGCTCCAAATCAAGGGTCTGGAGGCAAAAACTCAAAATGACCGGTTGGGTCGTTACAGATTTGAATCCTGGTCTCGTGGTTCATTTAGCTTCATTAACTGCTGGAAAACATACTTAGGTTACATGTCTTTTTTCTGGATTGAGATACTTTACGAGAAACTTAGAATATTATATATCAGTTGCTTATACAGTTTTAACACTTCATGTTTATCTTTGTTCAGTGCTGTGCTGGATGAGGTTGACATCCTTTTTAGTGATGAGGATTTTGAGACTGCGTTTCAATGTTTGATTAACTCTTCACCAATCACCACACAATATCTATTTGTGACTGCAACTTTGCCCATGGACATATACAACAAGCTGGTAGAAAGTTTTCCTGATTGTGAACTAGTAAGTGGTCCTGGTATGCACCGTACAAGCCCCGGCTTGGAAGAGGTATTTCTTATTTCGTTCTTGAAAACCAGTACAAATTTACCTAGTGGAAAATTGTTGCCTTATTTTCTTGTCAAATTTGTTCCCTAATATTTTGCATACGCCTGCTAATAAGAGCAACCTTAAAAAGGTTGATGTTTCCGGCTAGAATTAAATCCCCGGGATTCCTAGGAAAAGTTGAAACATATGTTATTGTTAAAGCTATAGGATATATCTAATTGTAATTTCTGCTTAGATTGCCTTGGTCAAAGTACATTATTTACAATACACTTACTTCCAGGGTTTCCTCTTGCCTTTATGAAGTGAGATCTTGATCTCAGTGTAAGTGATTAACCTCATATGCTAGCAGAGAGAACTAGCCCTGTTATTACTGTTTATGGAAAAGAGACAAGATTTTTGATGTGATCAATTATTTTATCAATATTTCGTCATCAAGAACAATTTAGAATAAACCAACGATTGTCTTCTCAAAGTAATAGATTCTTTTTCTAGTTAGACTTTTATCAGTGGGATGAAAGAACCATCCATTTTTTTTTTCAGCTTGCCCTATCCGATAGGAAGAAAATTTGACCGAAAGAGCCTTCTTTACTTTATTATTTTATGGAATGGGGAAAGTGATTTGCATTGCAGCACCCTATGCTGATACAAAAGGCAAAAAAGGAAAAAGAGATAAATTAAACAGGAGTGACATTGGATGATTCTTTGGTTATTATGCAGTTCTTCTAATGATTGTCTTCATTGTCCTGGATGATAAAGAATTCTTTGCTCTTTGACTTTCATTATTCTGATTGTGTGGATATGTTGAGGTCTTGAAATAGTTTGTGGTAATCCAAAATATATGTAAACACAAGTTTCGTGCCTGAAAATAATCAAGGCAAGAAAAACGCTGCAAATTATAATATTCGATTTCAAGATGCAATGAAGGTTGCAATCTCTATTCTCTATAGTCTCTTCTGATTCTTCTCAAGAAGAATATTAGATATATTGAGTTCGACTTTGATTGCGATTCAAGGGCTTGAAAAGTTTGATCTCGAATCGTCGTCTTGAATTTGTGTTTGACTTATTCGCCACAAACACTTGGATGGTTCTCACGAACAATGAATTTAGATTCCACACTACGAACTAAATAATCTTCAGCTCAGATGCTCTTCGAGTCTTGATTTATTTTTCACTTGATCTTGGATGCTTGAGTTCCTTTGTTGAGGACAACATCCCTTCGTTCTTGGGAAATCCGTATAGATATCTAGTACCAAAACTTCTCTCTCCTAGCTGGATTCGCATAAGAGTTAAGTGTACAGCCATGATAACCGAGCTTTAGAAATTTTAGGCAGTTCTAAATTTTAATACCTGTTGCTTTTGATATGTTAGATTTATCATCTCTCCTACTTATATTCTTATCTTTGTCTTTGCTTTACCTTCTGATAGTTTTTCCGCAATTAAAACTATATCATTTTCTTTGTTCACTCTATGGTAACAATTTAATAATTGCAACCTGTGTTCTATGGAGCTATTGTTTCTCGGTCCATATCCTCGTAATATTGAAATTTTCATAAATATTTTCCGTACTAGGAGGAAAAGAATATCAATATGAGAGTGTATCAGTAGAAAATGAAACTGTTTAGATAGAAATGTTTAGATGTGGCTCCTAAGGCTTTGGTCTAGTGGTAAAAGTGCAACACTAGATGTGTCGTGTTGTGTGATAAGATGCACATTACAAGTTCAAACCATGCTGCAGACTAAAGCCTGGTACTTAAGTGGAAAAGGGTAGAGGGGTGGACCCATTATCCACCGAGTTTCGAACCATGTGTCACTAGCCCTCGGTGATTTCTCGGTTGTCAAAAAAATAAAAAGAAATTTCTGTATGTGATAATTACAAAAAAGTTCAAATGGAAATAAGAAAACTATGCTGGTACTCTAAATCTAGTTGCTCCGATACGGCGGTTTAGGTGCCGCACCCGTGTCGACATGACACTAGTATGGGTGTGGCTATGGGATCCGTACCGGATCTGGTCAAATAATTTTGGGTACTTTGACCACGACTGACGGAAAAATTCGAGACAAGATACAATTTGATTCTCGAAATCAAAACAAAAACTGGGGAAGAAAATAGCTTACCGTATCTAGGAAATCAATTCTTTACTTATCTACAACCTGAGACTAAAAAAGAAATCCACACTTTACAAGCTATATGTAAGTATTCCTCAAATATTTCTCATAATTTACAGATATTTTTATATTTTTATTTTCTTGAATTATTTTTAGCCGGATCACCGCACCCGTATCCATACTAAGATCCGTATTCCCGAATCTTAGAATTTACATCTTGAAGGATCCGACCTCTAGATCCGCACCCGCGTCCGAGTAACTTAGCTGATAGATACACGCTGGAAAATCAGTAGCTTTTCTTGAAGAGAGGTAGCATATAGTCTACCTTATGCTACCAACATCCTAAAGTACATGACAATGTGGGAGATTTTCTTTTCTGTCTATTTTATGCTAAAGCATTATTTACCATTTGACAAGCACAATATACAAGTTAATTTTATCTGTTTCAACTATACAACTCCACAACTCCCATGCTTAATGACATATTATGTGATAGCATGAATGTACAAGACTCCTTCCTAAGGTCATTGTTTGAGGTGAAGTTCTAGTTTGATGGTTACATGTAGTCTCCACTCTCATTCCTCTGTAGCTGGACAAGATTTACAAATATATTTCCTTCCTTCCTTCCTGTAAGAAGGCACGGGAGAAAATATGTTATTGATATTGGATGAACAATACAATACAAGAGGTCCTTATTTATAGCTATACTATACAAGGACATACTATTCTTCTACCAATGTGGGACAATACTACACTATATACATGCTGTAAATTAACACTCCCCCTCAAGCAGGTGCATACAAATCATATGTACCGAGCTTGTTACATATATAACCAATACGAGGACCAGTGAGAGACTTGGTGAAAATATCTGCAAGTTGATCATTCGACCTCACAAACTTTGTAGCAATCTCTCCTGAAAGTATCTTTTCTCTGACGAAGTGACAATCAATCTCAATGTGTTTAGTTCTCTCATGGAACACCGGATTTGATGCAATATGAAGGGCAGCTTGATTATCGCACACAAGTTCCATCCGACTGATTTCACCAAATTTCAACTCCTTGAGCAATTGTTTGGTCCAGACTAGCTCACATGTTGCCATAGCCATTGCTCGATATTCTGCTTCTGCACTAGACCGAGCAACTACATTCTGTTTCTTGCTCTTCCAGGACACCAAATTTCCTCCTACTAAAACACAATATCCAGACGTAGAACGTCTATCAGAAGGTNCCGAGAAACTACATTCTATTTCTTGCTCTTCCAGGACACCAAATTGTCTCATACTAAAACACATTAGCCAGACGTAGAACGTCTATCAGAAGGTGATCCTGCCCAATCAGCATCTGAGTATCCAATGATCTGCTCATGACCTCGATCCTCAAAGAGTAACCCTTTGCCTGGAGCCGATTTTATATATCGAATAATGCGTACAACTGCATCCCAATGGCTATCACAGGGAGAATTCATAAACTGATTTACAACACTCACAGGATAAGAAATGTCGGGTCTAGTCACTGTGAGATAATTTAATTTTCCAACCAGCCGCCTATAGCTTGCAGGATCGCTAAGCGGCTCCCCCTGTCCTGGCATAAGTTTAGAATTCGGATCCATCGGAGTGTCAACAGGTCTGCAACCTATCATCCCCGTCTCCTCAAGAATGTCTAAAGCATATTTTCTTTGAGAAATAACAATACCTGAGCTAGACTGGGCAAC